GTTGCACTTAAAGCAGCTGATATTGGTATAGCTATGGGACAAACAGGTACTGATGTATCTAAAGAAGCAGCTGATATGATTCTTGTTAAAGATGATTTTTATACAATTATGTAAGATTTGTATTAAAATTTCAATTTCTAAGTTTTATTATTTTTGTGGCTTTAGGGCAGCAATCGAAGAAAGTAAAGGAATATTTCATAATATACAAAATTTTGTTCGATTTCAATTGAGCACGTGAGTTTTAAATTAGATATATTATTTTGATTAATTTTTTTTTTGTTTTCAACGAGTATTGCTGCACTAAGTTTAATAACACTTTCAACTGTTTTTCATTTTCCTAATCCATTAAATGCTATGCAAATATGTTTTTCTTCTTTTCATTTTGTCTCTATATGAAACTATATTTGTAGATTTAATCATATACAGTGTTTTGCTTTTTTTTGGTTGGAATTTGCAAACGAACAAAAAGGAAAAATCTAAACAAATGGCTAAACCAGTCGATCCAAATAAAGAAGATCAATATGCAACAACTATATTAAATCGTAATGCACGTCCAATTCGTTTAATTATTGATAATGGTATTAATGATGATAATAATGTTGTTACATTATCACAACAAAAAGTGGATGAATTACAATTATTTTTTGGTGATAGAGTTTTACTTAAAGGTGAAAAACGTCGAGAAACACTTTGTGAGGTTCACATTAGTGCTTCATGTCCAACTAATTATATTCAAATGAATTATGTTGTACGAAATAATTTACGTGTACGTTTAGGTGATATTGTTTCAATTGAAGGCTGTCAAGATGTTAAAGATGCTGTACGTATACATGTTTTACCTGTTGATGATACTGTACAAGGAATAACAGGCAATTTATTCGACGTTTATTTAAAACCATATTTTTTTGATAATCCTTTTCGACCAGTACATAAAGGTGATGTTTTTATTGTACGTGCAGCTATGCATGCTGTAGAATTTAAAGTCATTGAAAGTGAACCAAGTCCTTACTGTATTGTTACACCAGATACAGATATACATTGTGGAGATAATCCAATTAAACGTGAAGAAGAAGAAATATCTTTAAATAAAATTGGTTATGATGATATTGGCGGTGTTAGGAAACAAATGGCATAAATTATGGATACGGTTGAATTATCATTAATACATCCACAACTATTCAAAACAATTGGTGTTAAATCACCACGAGGTATTCTTTTATATGGACCACCAGGCACAGGTATGATAAAAATAATAGAGCGTTTTTTTAGAAAAAGAAAAATATTTATTTTAGGTAAAACTTTAATTGCACGTGCCATAGCTAATGAAACTGGTGCATCTTTCTTGTTAATTCATGGACCGGAAATTATGTCTAAATTACCTGATGAATCTGAATTATATTTATGTAAAGCATTTGAAAAAGCTAAAAAGGTAAAGTTAATTTACTAGTTAATTACTAGAAAATTAAGAGGACAAATTGAAGAAGTTAACTGTATATTAATTATAATACAATTTTTTTTTAAATAATTTTTTTTTTGTTTTTAGAATGCTCCAGCTATTATTTTCATCGATAAACTTGATGTAATTGCACCAAAGCGTGAAAAAAGTCATGGTGAAATTGAACATCCTATTGTTTTACAATTATTAACATTAATGGATGATCTTCAACAATATTCACATGTGATTGTTATGGCGACAACAAATCGACCAAATTCAGTTAATCCAGCACTTCGTCGTTTTCATCTAGAAATTGATATTGGTATTCCTAATGCTGCTGACCGTGAAGAAATTCTTCGTATACATACAAAAAATATGAAGTTAGGTGATGATGTTAATCTTGCAAAAATTGCTAATGAAACACATGGTTATGTTGGTGCGGATTTAGCATCATTATGTTCAAAGGCTGCTTTAAAACAAATTCGAGAAAATATATATGTCATGGATTTACAAGAAGATACAATTGATGCTGGAGCACTCAATGCATTAGTTGTTACACGAGAGAAGTTTTGATTTGCATTTAGACAATCAAATCCATCAGCTTTACATGAAATAGTTGTTGAAGAACCAACAACAACATGGGAAGATATTGGTGGTTTAAAAAATGTTAAACGTGAATTACAACAACATGTTCAATATTATGATGGACGTCCGAGAAAATTTCTCAAATTTGATACGACGTCATTACATGGTGTTCTCTTTTTNACAACAAAATTTATGACTGATCCAATACGTATATTAGTTAAACGTGATGAATTGACACTTGAAGGTATAAAACAATTTTTTGTTGCTGTTGAACGTGAAGAATGGAAATTTGATACATTATGTGATTTATATGATACATTAACAATAACACAAGCAGTTATTTTTTGTAATACCAAACGTAAAGTTACTTGGTTAACGGAAAAAATGCGTGAAGCTAATTTTACTGTTTCATCAATGCATGGTGATATGAAACAAGAAGAACGTGATGCTATTATGAAAGAATTTCGTGCTGGTGATACACGTGTACTTATAACAACTGATGTTTGGGCTCGAGGTAATTATAGCAAAATTTATTTTCAAGAAGTTTTTTTATTTTTTATTTTTAGGTATTGATGTTCAACAAGTTAGTTTGGTAATTAATTATGATCTTCCTAATTCTCGTGAATTATATATTCATCGTATTGGTCGTTCAGGTCGATTTGGTCGCAAAGGTGTTGCTATAAGTAAGTCTAATTATCTTGAATGAAACTTACGTAATAATAATGATATTCTTTTTTAGATTTCGTTAAAAATGATGATATTCGTATCTTACGAGATATTGAACAATATTATGCAACACAAATTGATGAAATGCCAATGAACGTAGCTGACCTTATTTAAACAAACAAAATTATTAAAAAAAACGAACTGTTTGATATTTCTATATATGTTATATGGGTGTATCCTGTCTTTTTGTCGTTGTTTGTTTTTGATATATACTTATCCTCCTAATAAAGAAAAAAAAATCTCGAAAGAATAATTACGTTGATAAGGTTGTTTGCTGCACACAATTCTAACTGTATTGCATTTTTGTTGTACAAATGAAACAAAAAGAAAAAACAATATGTAATAGTTAACATAGCATGTGCACTACTTTTGCCCGACTAAATTGCAAGAGCAAAAAATAGTGCACGAGAAGCATTGACGTGCTTTCTTTTTCAGTTATAGCAGACGACGATGTGGCTGTTCGTAGAGTACGCAACAGAATGCAAAGGATACAAAGTACAATTGTTGTTTCTTTATTTTTCTTCTTCTTTTTTTCTTCTTTTTTGTTCGTTTCATACGCATTGACTCTACAGTGCATACGAGGCAAGTTCGGAGTATAAATAGGGGTGCGAGTCGTTGTCTACATCTTATAACACATATTCTGCTTGAACAATAATGTTACTATATTTTACACAAATAATGTTTCAACCAAGTTTAATTATGGCTTTCTATTCGCAAAATGTTGTCTCATTAGTACATGGTATTCGAAACTATTCTCGACCATTTGATGAAATTCTTTATACATGTGACTCGAAAACAAACAATAATACTGCTTGTCTTGGTACAACTAGAACCAAGGATACATTAACTTGAAAGTATTTCTAATCACCATAATGGTCAATAGTTGAAATATACAAATTCGATGATGTTATACCTTTTAGCGCATCGTAGGATTGATTCTTGTCTGGGATCCAGTAAGTCCCAAAATCGGAACAATAGCAATTGGCTGTTGTCACAAGCATTTCACAAACATTTCATAGACATTCTCGCTATTCTATTGAATACAAGCAAATTTTATTGTAATTTATATTTTTTTTGTAATACATAAAATAATAAAAAAAAATCAATGAACACTACATTTCGATTGTTTTATTGAACTTGCTTGTTGACAATGAAATACCAAATAAATATCATCAATTAAATAAGTATTATTAAGAAATAGATGATACGCATTTAAACTATGACAATAATTATTTGCTGTATAATCAATAAGAAAATGTTTCATTAATGAGTTTGCACTCATAAATGGCCATAAATATTCATCCAGAATGATATTTTGTTCGAATAGAAATTTAGAACGAAATAATAAATAAACAATATGTTCATCATTAATATTAATGATGGTTGTGTTTAAACCATCAAAATATTTTATTAAGCATTCAATATAAAATGGATTTGATGGTATTGTTTTAGAAAGAATTTTTAATATAAATTTCATTAGAGGATATTCAATAGAATAATTTGATAAATATATAAAACCATATGGAAGAAAAAGTGTATGATTTAATTGATTATAAATTGGTTCAATAGCATATGAATGTTCTTGTTGATCATAAGGAATCGATGAAAATAATCTAACATGTTCAAGATATGAAGATGAATTAAGATTAGGAAAAAAATTAAATTTTGTAGAATGATGACCGAAAGAAATCTTTATATGATTTAATTCATTAATTAATAATTTTTTTTCTTCTATAAATAAATGATCAGATTGTTCGATTAATGAACGAAAACGATTTATAAAATTTTCAACACTTGTTTTTATTGAATCCAGAAGAATCTGAATAAAATATAAATTGAAAAAAAAATATTTTAATTGTTTCATATAAGAATATTTGTTTTTTTGTCGCAAGATAAATTATTTTGCGAAAATAGAACTCATGCTCGAGGTACATTTATAAAGGTTTAAAGAACTGAAAAAAAAATATCAATAGAACAGAACAAATATCGTTATAACAAGGGCAACGAGTAGAATCAGAGGGAGTCAGTACAAGACATTTTTGTTTGAGTATGATTAGGAATGGAACGAAGAAAAAGAGCGCAGAGTACAAAGCAATATATGAAGAGTTGAAACAATGCATATACAATTTTCTAAAAATGGGTGGAGTGCTGCACTTTTTTATTCTCATTTTACGACAGTGTTTTTCGAGTAAAAAATTACCACACTGCCTGGACAAAAACCTGAAAATTTCTTTTGAGTGAGAGCGTGCACATTCCATGTGAATGTCATATCTCGGAGTATGAGCAGTAATTTCTGAAGAATTGGATATAGAGTTTTTAATCTCAAATGTCACACTTATGCCTGCATCAAGATGCTGTAAACACTATGTACCTAAGAGTCATCGCACGAGAACCGCGACCAATTCTAATATAAGTTGCTCAATGACTTTCTCCAATTTTGATTTTGATTAAAGCAATAGATAGTACTACTAAAGTTAGATATATGGTAATATTTTCAACCTTCAATAACTTTCCATTGCTGAGAAATAAGAACTTCATTTCTACCACCCAGCGATAGAAACCACTGTAGACGTTATTTTTTTAAATCATTATTTAAAAAAATAACGTCTACAGTGGTTTCTATCGCTGGGTGGTAGAAATGAAGTCCTTATTTCTCAGCAATGGAAAGGTATTGAACGTTGAAAATTTTACCATATATCTAACTTTAGTAGTACTATCTATTGCTTTAATCAAAATCAAAATCGGAGAAAATCATTGAGCAATGTAGGTCGCGGTTCTCGTGCAATAACTCCTAAGTATTTCAATTGCTATTATTTATTATCTATCATCAAATGAATAGAACTAAAAAATTTCATTACATTCAAGTACGCACACATGTTTTGCACTAAATGGTACTTGACATAGTTGTATGACAAAGTCTACTTGAAAAAACTTATTCAATAACAACTGATGTCGCCGACACTAGAAAATACTTAAAAGTGCATATTACACACCACACCCACTTTTTTAAATATCTCTTTCGTGTCAAATACTTTAATTATTTGCTAATCCTGAGGACGATGATATCGATTGTTGAAAATGAAGTCTTAAACGACCCGAAACAGTGTATTACTGTATTGATTTTCAATGTATTTCCTTCTAATCTGTAAGTCCATGTTTTCACTAGAAAGCAGTCATCTCTTTACTAGTTTTTCGAAAACGACGACATAAAGACGCTGTTTCCTTTTATGTGAATTGTTTGGTTCCGTCGTTTATAACGTTTGATTGATCTGCTATATAAAGATATTCTGAAAACTATTGCTGAAATACTTCACTTCTTTACCCAATTAAAGATACATCAATTTCTAAAACACGATATCAAAAATAACATTTTTTTTCCTTTCCTGTATCAGAAGCTGTATAGTCGAAATTAATCAAAGACAAAAACAAAGATTTCGAAAATGATCGAAAATTCGTATTTTTTAATTTTTTTTCGACCTATTGCAATTGATTTTGAAACCTATGTTTTGCATTAGACAAATACTGGACATGTATTTTTGTTAGCAGTAATAAACCAATTCCTTGAATTTCTAATCAAAGTTTTAAATATTTTCAGTATTGAGAATTACGTGATTTCTATCCGTTTTTCATGTCAATTGTGATCAGTTTTGAACAATCTTTCCGAAGCTATTCTTAGGTATTGTCTAATACAAAACACAAATCTCAAAATCAGTTGGAATCGGTCGAAAAAAAACTAAAAAATACGAGTTTTCAACCTATTCCGACATCTATGTTTTGTATTTGATGAATTTTGATTACAGCTTTTGATAGAGGAAAGAAAAAATGATATTGACTGATATTATATTTTATGATTAGATGCATCTTTATCTACTGCAAATAAAAAATATTAACTTCGAAATTCTTTAATAAACTACCTGGTTTTTATCATCTATTAATTGATTAATTAATGATGGATGATAACAATTTAAAATATCAAAACAGCTATTAACATGACATGATAAATTCGAATCATTTGTTATATATATATGTGTATAAGATTCATTTCTATGATTGATTACATCATCAATAGAACGATGACGAACATGTGGCTGATAATATGGATAAAATAAATGTCGATAATAATCGAAAAAAACAAAATTAACAAGAGTATCTGCTGAGATTTTGTTTAATAAACGATCATATAACATGATTAAATAAGGCCAATCATATGAAATAAAATATTCTTGTGTTCTATTGTGTAAGAACAAATTAGTACTTGATGGCAATTCATTTAACTGTATTCGTTTATCAAGTAATTTATCGAGTAAATGGAGAATGCATGAACTATTATTATCAACAGATTGATTTTCTAAAGGTATAATTTGTTCAATAATTTTAAATTCTAATTGAATACGTCGCAGGTGTTCAACTAGTGTATGATTATCAGTAATAGTCTCAAGTATACGAATTTGTTTATCGATTAATTTTGTATTAAATTGACGTAAGCGATTTTGAAGAAAATGATTTAATAATTGAATTATACTTTTTAAGCCATTTGTATTCTTTAATGACGAAAGACACATGTGATAATCCGAGAAAGATAATATTCGTTTAACAATTAATGAATCTTGATTATATTCTTGCTCATATAATTTGACAGTATCATTTGCTTCTTGTAAAAATTTTGTATAATCATTATCAAAGTTTATAAGATTAGTAAATGCTGTTTGATTTAATCTTGTTAAGTTAGAAAATATAGCTGTAGGTGAGGGTAATGGACGACGATCGATTCTTACGATAGTTGAATAGGATTGACTGTCATTGTTGGACGATGAATAACTTATTTTAAAAAATGGATTGTATTGAAAAATAATTGGTAAAGATGTGACATTAGATGAATTTGTTTGATTGAAAAGAGTTAAATGTAATCGATATGGTTCTTGTTGAATAAACAGAGTAATATGATGTTCAAGTTCATCAAGTAATCGAGATGGTAATTGTGTTTCACATAATTGATATAATTTTGAAACAGATAACTGTGATGATGTGATATCTCCTAAAGATACAATAAATATAGAAACTAATAAAGAAGTTTATTATATAAATGTATATATATACATATATTATTTCTCATTTAAAAAATAGAAAGCAAATAGCTACAATCAAGCATTTTTCTTTTTACGCCTCAATCATAAATATCTATCTCCAACATACATCTAAATAATGAAAGATCATCAAATGAGATTTAAGAACAAGAAGAAAAAAAAAACTTCTGATACCTTCACTTGATATTGGTTGACTATTGCTAATATTTATCATTAATTTATCATGTATTCTATGTCGAATACGTTTCCATTTTTCTTTATATTCTTCATCATCCTCATTTTTTTCAAGTTTCTTTTGTTGTATCCATTTGTCACAAACGAAATTATAAAAATTTTCACATGGATCTATATTAATATTAACAAAATCTGGTAATTGTCGTTTTTTTGCAATTGAAAATATACGTGTATCAGGATTTGTTTTTGAGGAAATCATAAAAATATTACTGTTCAAATAATAAATGACTATAGCTGTTAGAATAAGAATAAAAGCAAGACAAAATCCAAAAAGAATACAAGCAATACGATTAAATAATAATGATGACGATGAAGCATCCATTGTTGAACTATATAAATAGATATAAGTGTGTTGTGATCGTCGTCGATAACAACACAAACGACTTAACCATGAACAACAATCAGGCATTTTATTGAAAATTGATAATACTATTGATTAACATAACTTAAAAAATTAAGACAAATAAAACTTACATTCAAATAATTCAACATTGTTTTAGTCATTGCATGCACGAATGACAACGGCGGAGAAATCTTATTGTCATATTAATAGCGTGAAACTGATTATGTTGATGATTATAATGATGAGTTGAAGAACGAAAAGGAAAAAAACCTTCAAAATAATCGATTGTTTATATATATATATATATCTGCTTTTTTCTTTATTTAATCTACATTAAGCCACAAGGGTACAATGAATTGATGAAACGTGTGTACGTGTGTGTGGGGGTATGTCTATCATCCATTCTTTCCTATTATGCATCATTTACGATAACTATTAGTTTATTTTCTGGGTTATTGGTCAGTTACTCATCTTTTACTAGATGTTTCATGGCATCTTATGACAAAGAGAAAACATACAATCTAGTCTATTGAACTTACGTGCATGTGTGAATGATTGAACAAGCGTTAGTACTAGTTAACTACTTGTCAGTTCATTTGCTATTCCATCACTCATTCTAACATCAACAAAAAATTAGAATAAGACAAACTTAATGGGATGGCACGAGCATATATATATATATATTTATATATGTATGATTTTAAGTCGGATGATTATATTCACGAAATGACATTTTCTAGGCTGAATAGAAGAGTCACATCTCATTAAGGGTAGTAATGTTGGACATGTCTTTTTTTCCTGACAATGCATATATATGTATATAATAACCATATAACATTGTTACTGATTTCTTTTCTTTTCAATTATCCATTAGGTAGGCGGAGAAAATGAAAGCATAGTATTATAGATGTACTATCAAACGGTCAGACAATCTCTTATGTTCTCTTTTAATCTTTTACTTATATTGAAATTAGAGACGAGTGTCTGCTTTCTTTTGTATATATTTTACTAGATGTATAAGTGAGAAAGAAAACAAATTATACTCGACAACATACGGACCACATGAACATACCGTCAAATTGAAAATTTGTTATATCAAAGCATGCGCTCAAGTGGCGACTTGACTCGATATACAATTGAATTTCATCAATACTCGTATTATTCTTTCAAGTTACAACATACATATATATATATATATATATATGTATATAGTTTAGAGAGAAGCGAGGTGAGAATGACGTTAAAATGACTCTCGATTTTTTTTTCGTTTGAACTAAATTTATATTGTATTTATATAAGGTATATAATAAAAAAAAAAGAAATAGCAATTCAATCAACAGAAGAAAGAATGTATTGAATCGAATAGCCGACGAGAGAAAGAGAGAGAGAGGTGTATATACCCCATGAGACTATTTTCTCTATATTCTCTTTTCATGATAGAATACGTTAATGACAAAGTACTAACACTTTTTCAAAACTAATATAGTAAATTGAAAGAGAACAAAACAAAAACGAATAACTATTTGAATATGTATGCATGAAAGATAATTACAATACTCAAGGAAGATCGACAAGTACATCTTCATCTCTTTTTTTTTTATGTTCAGCGTATGAGAGGAAAAAAAGCAACGAGAACTTCTGACCACTATATAGCCGAGTTTCATACTTGTCAAATGCCGACTCATTTAATCGGAAATCTGAAGAACATACTTCACGTATATTCTCGATGAACTATGAAAGAGGAAAAAAAACCATTTAGTACATCAATTATATATGAACTTTTAATTAAATAACGGCGTTGTCTTGTACAGTCCAACGAATCATAAAGAGTATACTATTTAAAAATGTGTCGCTATTATTGAATAAATAAACATTTCTAAAGCAAAATAATAGCTATCGTATTTCATACATTAATTCCATGTTGTTCTATCAGATGGTTATGTTATTTGTTAATAGTTTGACTAGTTGACAAAGTGAATTTGACATGCAATGAAGATGTGTGAAGTATAGATATTATGTTAAAAAAAGAAATTGCCAAAAAGTTAATTTTCTTCAGACAAATTATCGTCAAGTCAAAACAGATCATCATTTTAATGAAATAGACTTTTTGGAAATGAGAAAAATTCCTTGAGGAATTGATAAGACACTACCTTCAAAAGAAAAGTTGCTCATTAGATCACACAGCTGTTCTTTTCAATAAAGAGTAAGACAAATGGCTATCATTTGTGATCGATATTCTTTTGTTAGCAAACAAGAATATGATTAATCTTTGATTGTTTTAGCAAAAGACTAGTGAATACTATCTTGTTAATGAACGACGAACATATTAATAGAAAAAAAATCTAATTTTCTTTTTGTCTACAATAGCCGTTTGACATTTTGTTGGCAAAGAGAAAAAAACTTCACCGAACATCATATAACAAATGAAATCAATGATTGAGACAAATATTCAAATGAAATAACTAGTTTTAAAAATAGAAAATATTATTTAAGTTTGCTTCCGTTATAATCAGAATTATATCTTATCTTTCTATTCTATTCATAAATTTTGTTTTTAAATGCAAATGTTTACAATCAATCAATGTTTCTTTTGTTTTTTAAAATTCTTGTACTTCCATATAAAACAAAATTTTTATCATCACTTATTGATGATGATAAAAGTTGTTTTGCATTTTTACTAACACCTTGCAGAATAAATACTTGACATGAATCGATTTTATTAACAATATCACTAGCAATCATCACTTTATTATGCATTGATCCTGTTACATCAATAATTGATGATTGTTGATCATAATCCTCAATTTTATTTTCATTAATATAAAATTCTTCAATAACATTTCCATTTGATTGAAGAATTCCTGGTACGGAAGTTAAAAATATACATTGACGTGGTTGAAAATATTCTGCTAATTTAAATAAAAGATCATCACCACTTAATATTCTCCAATGAATTTTTTTATCTAGTAAAACATCACCATGTAAAAGTGGAACATAACCATTTGAAAGAGCTATTTCTAAATGCTGATAAAGATGTTTATAATTTTCATCTGTTAATTCAAATTGATTTGAAATAAGAAAATCAAATGGTGATATAGCAACAACTGGTATTTGAGCACGAAGAAATGCATCTAATAAATATTGTTGTAAACGACCTAATGAACGTCGAGTATCACAAACACCTAAAAGACATTTTTCATAATTATTAGTATTTGTATAACCTTCATTTAATTTAAATTGTTTAGCTTGATGATGACTAAATAATTAGAATAAAATAAAGAAAAAAAAAACTTAGTTTTATATAATATTATTAACAAACCCAAATGAACCAGCACCATGAATTAGTATTAAATTTTTATAATTATTTTTAAATAAATCAACAATAAAATCAATATTTGATAAATTAACATGTTCAAATTGGCTTTTATCTGTTATTGATGCACCTCCTATTTTTACAATACGTGTTACCATATAAAATTAAAAAAATATATTTTTTATTAATGGAAATATCAAGTAACATATTATTAATCGAGCGTTACGTTAGAAGTTTAATATAGAATAACTTGATTATCCAGGTTCATCTATTTTTAAAGCTTGTATCGAATTAATTAAGTAACTGAATTCACTGTCTGAAAATTCATCAGATCATAATTGATTTTTTATTTTTATACAGAGTGAGCTATAAATATCTTTATGACAAAAAATTTGAATATCTCTATTATGCTTGACTGTATTGAGCTGATTTTTTTAATCACTGAAAGAGGATTGTTCAAAGTGTTTTGTTTTTTCGTAAATTTCATAATGAATACTGCTTTCAATTGTCGACATTCACTACAATACCGTAGCGTGACATTTTGAACTGATGTGATTCGGGTTAGTTTTTCTTCTATCTTAGTAATTGTGAGGCAAGGAGTTTTCTGACACCCAGCCACACTCTCTGTATGCTTAATTTTTGAATAAAGATTATCTTGACTTTTCTCGTTGCTATCTGACGTTAAAATCATAGAAATATCCATGAAATATTCTGCATGTCTTTCTGAATCCGTGAAAGGTTACACACTCCCGTATCGAAGTAAATTTCGATAATTAAAAGTCATGTTCATTAACGATTTTCTTATGATAAAAATGATCAGCCCAGCACTATAAATAATTAAATATTTTATCATAAAGATATATTTATCGCCTATTCTTTATATATATATATATACATGAAGTTGATTATTGTGTTTTGTTTACCATTTTGTTCTCTTGTAAAACTCAACTCAAAATATATGTGATGTTCTCTTTTTATTGGACGCTCTTAAATACCCTTCAGAATGGATGCATATAGATGTGTGAGCGTTAAGAGACGTCAATTTTCTTTTTAGTAAAAAAAACAACTGTTTTTTTGTTCTCATGAAAAAATTTCAAATATTTTAGATGAAACTATTTTACACATTAATACAATATTTTTTATTGATTTATTTTTGTTATTGTCATGATCTTCATCATGCAGATCGAGTCATAGTCAAACAACCCGAATCATCTATGACTAATGACGCGCCTAATAAAAATATAGGTAAGTTTGACATTTTTGTTATTTTAAGAAAAAAAAAGTTTATTGAATTTTTTTAGAAACTATAAATGCTCCAAAAAATAATCATGAAGATCTACATGATCCTATTGATGCTCGTTTTCAAGCTATACATGATTTAAAAAAATTAACTCATGAATCTAGTCAAAATGATAATGAACAGCAAATACAATCTACAACTCCATCATTACAAAATCAAGCATCAATATCAATTGAGAACGATTTAACATCTTCTTCTTCATCTATAAAAGCACAAACTGACCAACAATTAAAATTATCATCAACAGAAACATTATCAAACAGTAATACAATAAAACAGATTCCAATTTCAAGTGATAAATTAAATCCGAAAATAATTCATAAAGATGATCTATCTTCTGAACAAACAATCAATACAGTTCAACAAACTCTATCATCAACACAATCTGATCAACAAGAGCAAATAAAACCAATATCCAATCATATTTCATCATCTACAAATACACAACAATCTGCTGCTTCTCAACCAATAAATAATAGTAATTCTTCAGATCAACATTCACAAATTCCATTAAAACCAATTACAAATGATGCATCAACAGTAGAAGATGAATCTCATATTCCAGTATCAACAACATCACAAATTTTACGTTCAGCAACATCTAACCTTCAACAAAATGTACATATACATTCTCAACATGTTCAAGCAAATCAACAACCAGATGAAAATATTTTCATAACAGGTAGAGACCAAAGTCAATTTCAATTTCTAGGAAATAAGTATTCAGTGTTGTATTCACATTTTCTCTTTTGGTGGGGCGACATCTCTACACTAGATAAAACACTCGTCAAATTGATGCAAATCGTTCGCTACAAGTGCATAGATTAAATATCGATGATGTGTAGAAAAAAATTCATTTTTGCATATTCAACGCAAGGAATACAATACCTAGTTTGACATTGAGTTGAATCAAGAGATTTATTCTATTATGTAAAATTGTTGGCATAGTCCCTGTAGGCTTAAAATATGAAACATGATATAGATGCTGTTGCTAATCACATAGAAAGTAGTTCATGTGTTATAACAAAATATTATTGATACATGGTCTAAGACCATATGTCAACGTTTGTCATGGTGTATAGTTCCAAATTTTTACTTCTATACATTATCATTCCTTTCGATTGTGCCTTACAAAAAGATGTAGAAATAATATGTATATTTTTTCAGTTAAGTCAATTCAGAAAATTCATTTTGATATGAAAAGCTTATAGAAATGACGCGTAGTTTTATTAAAAAAGCATATTAATATGAATATGAATTTTCTTACTTAGCCCGACTCCATACAATACAAAACTATACACATTATTTCTATATTGTATTTATATTCAATTGAATTTTCTGATGTAACCTTATCCAACCCAAACTTAAAAAAGCTGTTATCGCAATCACGGCGGCTCTTTTTAAATCGTGTTTGACAAAATAGATATTATTTCTATATTCTTTTTACGTTAAAATCAATCTCCTATGCTCATGTCTCAAAACATGTATTTAAATTTCTATGAAATTTTTCACATAATAACTTTATTAGAATTTCCTGAAAATTGGAACTTATTCTCGCGTGATGACCAATATTGAAGGAAATGATTGTTTCTGAGTATTAAACATCTAAATTGATACAAGCTTTAAGAATATGGATAAACATATGATTTATAAGGCGTATTAGTTGACAGCTAACTATTAGAATGAAATTATTTCATATCAACTAACTAAAATCTCTATTAGATGGTTCTCAAACAGACAGTGTGATTGTTCAATCATACAGCGATGAACAAAAACATTCAAATGAAGCATTATTAAAATCAGAAGAATCAGATATCGAGTTACCTTTACCACCAACAATAGATCGTACGATTGAGAATGAAACACAAACAAATGATAATAATAGTGATACAAATCAATATTTGTCTAAAATTGAACCAAAAGTAAATGATATTTATTAAATAGTTTTAAAATTCAAATCATTATTTTTTATTATATTTTAGATTAATAACAGTCAGAATTCAATTTCATTAACTCCAAAAGTGAACAATAACAATACAATATTAACAAACAAAAATCGACAAATATGTTGGTATTTACCGAAAAAATTCGAAACAAGTATTGAATTAATCGAAAGTCAAATTTTTCGTTTGATCAATATTGTATGAATGTTTGTTTTTCCTTTCGTTTCTTATGTATTCAATTTAATCTTATTTTCCTAGTTACCAAAATTTCTACAAACAATTTTATTTGGACATAGTGATGATCGTGAAATTTTAATGAATACAATATGGTTTGCATCGAGTTGTACAATGTGTTTTTTATTTAGTTTGATTTTTCTTGTCACGGGCACAAATCGTTTAAGACAAACTAAACATGAAAAACAAATTCGTGTACATTGTCAACAACTTCAACAAAAGAATAATCGAATTGAACTTGAACGTGCAACATTTGAACGAGAAAATCAAAAGTAAAATACCAAAAAAAAATCACCAGTAAAATTATTTTTATTTTCAATTAAATTTGAATTTAGATTATCGGATGATATAGATAAATTAAAAAGTTTACCTGAACATGATTCTGATGAAGATATTTTTGCATTACGTGAAGAATGTATTCGCTTTCAAGAAGATTTAAAAACAGCACATGCAAATCATCTGCTTTTACAACAGGATATTGATTATAAACAAAATCTTATATTAAAACATGAGTATGATTTACAACGACAAGTAGAAACAATTACACATTTAAATAATGAGGTAATATTAAATACAAAAATTATGATTCCTGCTATTACTAATAATGGTATGGGTGTGAGTGTTAGTCTTGTCTTATTTCTTATCCGCACTCCTAATTACATCCAAACCCATATCTTTTACCATCGATTCTTTTTGCTTGTTTCACTTTTCTATGCTGACATTTCCTCGTGCTCATCGTTCACCAATCCAGATCTTACATCAAGGGAAACTATAAACACAATCGATATCCGATAGTTAACCATGTTTTCTCAAAAGTTCGAAATCAAAAATAACCAAAAGACTATTCTCATTAATATCTCATCGTACGATATGAATGTGGACGATCAACAAAAATGTATTATAATTCACGTCCATTTTGAGATATGTAATTGATAGACAAATTATACGAAGCATGAGTTTCTAGAATCATCAATAGACATTATTTAGTTTTTTTCGAAATTTAAAACAAATCATTCAGTTTGATTTCTATACTAAATTGCATCTTGAAACAAAATAATTTGTTCAAAATACAAAGTCATACTGAAGCAATCATCTATGACTTAATACTTTCTTAGAATAAAAGGCAAATGATTTTTTTTTATACTTTAGATCCTTCAACTAAAACAAGAGTTAGAAAAAGATCGAGGAGCCATAGTACGTTTACAATCAAATGATATTTCGTTGGAACGTTTTGAAAGATCACAAGAAACCATTCAAGAACTTAAATCTGAAATAACTCAATTAAAACAAGAAAAATTAATCCAAAATAATCAATTACAAAAAATACAAGAACATGCTAATCAATTGGATATTGAAAATAATGATTTAACATTTAGAATGAAACAATTAAAAGATTTATTTGAACAACATGATCAAATAATAAAGCATATTCATAATAAAATTACCAAAGACAAAACATTAGGTTACATTAAAATATTTATTTCAAACATTTTTTAAAATTATTTTCTTTCATAGAATTAGAAGATTTACGTTCAATATTAACAGAAAATTCTTCAAAGAATAATCAACATGTTATATCAACAATTGATAATGATATAAAAAAATCAAATCAACATATACGAGATTTACATCATGAAATTGATATAAAAACTTGTCGTATAAAAGAACTTGATTTATTATTTAAACAGGAAAAAGATCGTTGTAAAGAAATTGAAACTAAACTTAAAGTTATATTAGAATTACGTGAGCATGATACTCATTTACATATACGTCAATTAGGACAAACAGATGCTGAATTACGTAAAGCAAGAACAGATACTGAACGTATTCGTATTTTACAACAACACCTTGAATTTAAACAGTAAAATTTCTTTTCAAATAGAAATCAATTTTTTTTAGTTTTACATGGAATTTAGACAACAATTAGATGATGTACAAAAAGCTCTTTCAACTGAGCAAATTAAATTTAATGAAGAATGTAGTAAATTACAACATGAAACACATGAAAAATGGATGGATGTCAAACGTTTAACACGAGAACTTGAAGCTTCAAAAAAAGAATGCGAAAGTCTACGAAAACAGTAAGTTTTACCTTGATTATTATTTATACTTCATTGTTTCTTTTTCAATTTATAGAATTACTAAATATGCAAAGAATACACGTTCTTCACAAGAAAAAACTACAAATAAACCAGTATCACAACATATGAGAAATAGTGGTAAGAGAATAGCAACAAAATGAATAAGTTTTGTATTTTTTTTCAATTTCAGGAGAACTAGACTCACAACATAGTTCACCAATTCATTATCAACAAGATGAAAAGTAATAACAATTATCTTTTCAATAGAAGATCATCTTTTGCTTTTTTTTCTTCATTTCAGTTTTAGACCCATTGATTATCAACATAATAATTCTGGTGGTACTAGTCCAACCGAAATGTTCATACATAGTAAGTAGTATTTTTTTTTTAAATTTTTCTTTCATAAATCATGTTTTATTAATAAGGACCAACTCTGTTTAATATGCCTCGACCTCCATTTTTTCCACCACCATTTATGATGCATCCAAGATTTCCAATGACACCTGTTGGTCCACATGGAATTATGTCACCTATTTCACATTTGATTACTAATGGGAGTGATACAAATAATTCCGAAATCATTGATTCATCAAACATAACTCCAAATTCAACGAGTTATGATATGGAATCGAATGAAATTGCTGTATCACCTTTACCTGATGGTAAACATTTTGAAAATGTATAAAATGAATAATAATAAATTTTCTATATCTTAGACGAACATCAAACAAAAACAAAAAAACCAAAGAAATCATTAAAAAAAAAGACAAAAACATCAGGAACAGCAGTTATCAAAGAAGATATATAATCAGTATCTATTTAATGAAGAAAAAGCTCGTTTTAATACTGATATATATCTCTTTTTGTATTTTTTTTTCTTGTTAAACATAAAGTTCTTATTTATATTTAAAAATTTTCTTTTTATTTGGTTTTATTTGACTGTATCATTGTTATTATTAATGTATAATTAAAATTTAAAGAATAAGAAATTCCTGCAGTATAATGCTGTGATTTCATATATGCTTTCATAAACATTAACGTTGGTCTATTGTGAAAAATGAATATTGTTATTTTATTTGTTAATTGTTTCGATATTGTTTCTATTGCTTACATTTATCAAGAAATAAAATGATAAAAAAAAGGCATATGGTACAAAGATTTATTTTGATTATCAATCTATGAGGTTTATAGCTTTGACTATGGATCAAAATCTGTAATGACACTATTATATACTATTTGATCAAGTTTCCTATAACATAAGCGGATAAAATTCGATACAAAAAATGTAGAGCAAATGTTGATCCAGGGGACTTTTTAACTGACACGTGCTGAAATCAAAAATGTCTCCTTCATGAACATAACGAAAAAAACGAAGTTCAATTGTTGAAATACAATAATATTGAACAACTGAAAAATGATATTAAAAAAATAATCTAACAAAGTTAATGTTTCTTTATGTCACTATGAGGAAGTCTTGGTAAGATTGGAAAAAACTTGAAAGAGTTCGTACTTATGGAACTCTGGAGATGATCCAGCTATTGGAGAAATTAAAGGTCAAAAATTCAGTAGAACGATCCTAACTTGGCTCCAGATGTCCATAGATACGACCCATTTTAGAATTTTTCTAGTCTCACCAAGACTTCTTTGTGTGTCCAATACGAGTTTAAATGGTAGATCACTGTTGTGGTAGTTCTATCTTAAATAGGTATAATAATCTGGCAAAGCTTCGAAGACTTTTTCTTTTGTTTTATGCGAGAACGAGAAATTTTACAATCGTCCTAGAACTATAGGGCATTCCCTTAAAACAAACAATAAATCGAGCCAAACATATAGTCAGTTGATAATTTTTTCAAATGTCATCATTACATAAAAAGAATATGATAAGACCTTTTCTTTTTCATTTTGTTCTTTCTTACTTCACATTGATGTAGAGAATAAGTGATAAAATGAATAGACTGCATGTTAAACCTTCAGATACAACATGCACAAAAGACTTCTATGGCAATGATTGTAAGAATAAGCTAAGTGTAAAGATATATGTTGAATACATTGAATCAAAATTTTAATCATATTATTATCAGTGTTACATGAACATATTTCTAATCTATTCAAGTCTTGTTTATTCTTTGCAAAGATTAAATTCTACATTTAGAAATAAAGGATGGATATTAAAGAACAAAGTAATGATTAACAAGACATTATGAAAAATTTCCTTTTTAGATTTAAGTAACAGAAATATATCAATTAAGATGAATTATGTACGAATGCCTATTGAAATTGAATCACCTGAACAAATGAATTATGAAAATATTCAATTTAATTTAACTGAAAGTTCAATTACAGACACAAAACTTGGTGATTTAAATATCAATTTGCAAGAACTTGTTATGGCTTATGGAGATCATATTGGTCATCGACAATTACGTGAATTAATTGCTAAAGATGCTGGTGTTCAAGTAGATGATGTATTACTTACAGCAGGTGCAGCAACTGCTCTATTTATTATTTCAACTAGTTTACTTGGAAAAGATGATCAAATATTAGTTGAACGTCCTAATTATGCAACGAACATTGAAACACCACGTGCTATTGGTGCTAAGATTGATTTTATTGAGCTACAATTTGAAAATGCATTTCGTTTTTCAATAGATGAGATTGAAGATAAAATTAAACCTAATGAAACAAAATTAATTAGTATAACTGTACCTAATAATCCAACAGGAGCGGTCATATCACGTGATGATCTCGATAAACTTATTTTACTTACTAAAAATAAAGGTATTACATTACTCGTTGATGAAACATATCGCGATATGACATTTATTAATTTACTTCCTGTCGCAGCATCTCTTGCATCACATGTTATATCAGTTTCATCATTATCAAAAACATATGGTCTTCCAGGAATTCGAATTGGATGGTTAATTTGTCAAGATAAAAAACTTATGGAAAAATTCTTAGCTGCTAAAGAACAAATTATGATTTGTGGTTCTGTTATCGATGAAGAAATCGCTTATCGTTATATGTTAACTCGTGATAAACAATTATCATTAATCCTAGAAGAAATACAAATTCGATTTAACATTATGAAAAAATGGATGAATGAATCGAATCAACATCTTGAATGGATAGAACCACAAGGAGGTGTCGTTTGTTTTCCAAGAATAAAAGCCAATATTGAGCCTGAAGAATTCTATAAAGTATTAAATAATACATTTAAAACATATGTTGGTCCAGGACACTGGTTTGATATGAACAAAAAATTCATGCGAATTGGTTATGGTTGGCCGTCAACACGTGATGAACTCATACAAGGATTAAAAAACATCACATCTGCTATTGAACTTTGCTTGGAAAAAAAGAATTAGATTGGATCCATATTTTTGTTTTTTTATTTTAATATTAGCTTTCTAGAATTCTAAGAAAATGTTAATATGTCTCGTAAATAGAAGTGTACGAAACCAGATTTCCTTAGCCATGCTCTCAATAAATCTAATTTAATCCCGATCCTAATAAGTAACAAATCTATTTTTATTATGTTTTGTATCGTTGCCATACTCAAGGGTGGAGAGGTATTGAATACACACTGAACAACTCAAGTCAAAGTATCAAAAACTGATAGATATATTCAGAAAATATTGGATATGTCATTCTGTACAGAAAAGAAGTAAAAAATTGACTTTGATAAAATTTTCTCAATATGTTTGCCAGTGTATATCCAACACTTCTTCATAGTAGAGTATGACAAAGATACAAAAAATTAAAAATAAAAATACAAATGAGGTCGTGACTTATGGAATACTCTTTAAAAAAATATATCTATACACTTTCATTTCATAACCTGTATGCTACTGTCACATAAAGATTCAAGATAAAGGTCTGAAAAGTTACTTTATCAGTTTAGTTTTCATTTGTTTTGATATCAATGGGAGCAAGTCACAAAAAACCTTCTCAAGATGATTCTAATCTTGAAATATATTCTCTTATTTGTCTTGATCCATCATTTCATAATAATGAAGAAACTGTCAAAGCTCAACAACAACTTCGAGTATCAATAAATTATTTGAAAATATTTGAAAATTGTTATCAATGTGAAGAATATATTCGGTCCGTTAGTTCATATAACCGATTTATTTTAATTACCAATGATGAATTAGCTCGACAAATAGTCCCGCGAATTGAACAACTTCGACAAGTATATTCAATTTATATTCATTGTTTAGATAAAATAACGAATCAACAGTGGGCTAAACAATATTTAAAGGTAAACAAACTTTCTCAAGATTTGATATTTATTATTAGAGATTTTTTTTTAGATAAAATGTTTGAGTGATCAATTAGATATGCTCGTGACACGAATTCAATCTGATCATAGAATTAATGATTTATTTCCTGTTGTTATTTATAATACAAATGAATTGAATTTTCATTTTCTTTATTCACATTTATTATTTGATTGTCTTCTGCGAATGAATTCGAACAATAAAAATAAATTTATATCTTTATGTAAAAATGAATATAAGAACAATGAAAATGAGTTAAATATTATTCATGAATTTGAAGAAAATTATTCAGCAAATCAATCTTTATCATGGTATACAAGGAAATCTTTTATTTATCGAATATTAAATAAAGCTCTTCTAACACAAAATATTGATTTATTGTTTACATTGAGATTTTTTATTCAAGATATCTACCAACAAATTGAACAAAAAAAATGCTTATATCCAATTCGTGTTTATCATAGTCATCTAATGACATATGAAGAAATTCAATTAATTGAAAATTCTCTTGGACAATTTATTTCAATTAATTCATTTCTTTCGGCATGTCTTGATCGTGGTTTAGCTTTATTTCATCTTTATGAACCAAATGATCTTCAACGAGTTTTGTTTGAAATCGATGCAGATCTTCAATTAAATGATATGAATCATTTTGGTTATATTAAATTAGTTAATTATTGTGAAGAAACTGAACAAATATTTTTTATGTTAGGATCAATATTTCGAATTGAAAATATTTGTCTTAATGATGATGAAATATGGATTATTCAAATGAAATTATGTACAGAAAATGATTGTCAATTAAAGTCAATCTTTAATATTCTAAGAAATGAATATCATTATGGTCAAGACAGTAATCTATTGTCATTTGGTGAATTTCTTATTAAACAAGGTTATTTAAATGAAGCTGAAAAATATTATCTTCGTTTAATTGATGAACTTTCTCATCATCCTGATAATATGATTCAATGTTATAATGCACTTGGTACACTTGCAAAAGATAAACATTATTATGAATTAAGTATTCAATGGTTTAATAAAGCGATTAAAATAAAAACACAAAACGAGTCAAATTTAATTGAGAGTTATAATAATATAGCAGAAATCGATCAAAAAAATGGTGACTATAAACAAGCTATTGAATCATTTAATAAAGCATTGAAGATTTTTATAAAAACATTTGGTGATGATCATCCAAAACTAGCTATATGTTTTAATAATATAGCTATTGCATATAAAAGAGAAAAAAAATATACAAAAGCACTTGAATATCATCAAAAAGCATTGAGTATTCTTGAAAAATACCGACGAGCTAATCATTCAGACTTAGCAGCAGTACATAATAACATTGGTGTTATTCATCGACATCTTGGTCATAATGATCTTGCATTAGAACACTATCAACATGCATTAGACATTTATAAAACATCTCTTTCTGGTTCATATTCCGATATTGCTAAAACATTTAGAAATTTTGGTATAGTTTATGAAGATAGAGGTAACTTCCAACAAGCATTGTTATGTTTTAAAAAATCATCTATAATTTATCGATGTAGTTTATCTTTGGAACATCCTGATGTTATGGAAATTGAAGAAAAAATTCGAAATGTTTCATCTCATTTGAAATAACCTGATGTTTATTTTTAATTTGTGAAGATTATGTTTAATGGAAAAATTGTTTTCATTTATTGAAATTTATCTGTAATTTGTTTTTTTTCCCAACTAGTTTCCATTGTAATTAACAACCTATCATTTTGAAATACTTATTATTTGATTTAAAAAAAAAGATGTTATACATTGCATGTTGCATTATATACATACCTGAATATTTGAAGTAGAACACTTGCATAGATTTAAAATAGAAGTTGTTCTTGATGTAACTGAATCAAAATATTTGAAATTCAATGTATTTGCAATATCGGAGTAAATACTGAAAAATTGCCCATATTGAGTTAATTTTTGTATAATGGACTGAGGATGTGAACGTGAGGTGAAATGGAAAATCAACAATCAGAATTTTGAAAACAGAGTTTGAAATTCCGATTGTCGACTCGTGAGTAAACCCTTAAATCTCTAGAACTGCCATAAGGAAGCAGGTTATATATTCTCATGAAATGTTAGTGACCTATGATCGCTAGTCAAATATCGAAAGCGTCTGTCGCAGGTTGGGAAGGAGGGGGGGGGGGGGAGGGATGCAAATTTCTAGCGTGTAGATGTGGGTGGGGCTGTGATTTCCTCTTCATCCACTCGCACACCAGCATCCATAGTCCACTTACGCTTACACTCTCCATTGTCGTTTTGGAAGAAGAAACATGATTTTTATCCTATTTTGGCGAAAGTTACTGCTCGTGTTTTAGCTGTACTGGCTACCAGTGCGGCTGTTGAACGGAAGTTCAATTTTACTGACAATATTATTAAACGAAAGCGCTCAGAGCTATCACCGGATACAGTGAATGGTATTCTTTTTAATCCGTCATAAAATAACTTGTCAATAGTTTTAACACATTTAAACTTTATTCGGTTCGGTTCGATGCGGCTCAAGCAAAACGAGAACTGACTCCATCACTGTTAAACGTGTACATCGTCAACGTCTTATTGAAGAAATGAAACCAACAAAAGAAGTTTCCCCATTATATCCAAATTTATTAGTTAGCAATTTGGTAAGTCTTAGAGCGTGTATTTTGTTTTTATCGACTGATAATTCATTGAAATATTTCTGAGTTGGAAAAAGTCGACCAAAGAAGCTGGTACAATCTCAATATCATATATATATTTTTATTTTATTTTATTTTTTTCTCTGAACTGCTGATTCGCAAAATCAATCTTCGTTCTAATCCGTTCAGTAGAGATATTATTCAAACATTAAAATTTAGTTGTACAAAATTAGTCACATATTAGGATCATCAAAGAGAAGAATTTATTACTGACGGTAATACATTTTATTAATCTTTGTATGGTTTTCTCTTTGTTTTAGAAGAGCAACCGTTTTTCATATTAGAGCATTTCAGTATGAAACGTTATAAACACTTAAAAAAACTGTGATTAAATCATGTCAGTTATATATTGACTATTTTAAAATTATTGTATAATTTTTGTTGCTTAATTTTATCATTATTTATTGTGGGAAACAATTGATACTTATCGAATGATGCAATAAACATATCATGACAAAATCACAAGCTGTAGCTATGACTGTTTTAATTGGATCATTTGTATAAAATATTTAATATAAAATATTGAGCAAAGGTTCAAGGATCTTGGTGGAAAATGTTGAACAGGAAAACGTCGAAAATTTAAATGACTAAAAAGAAAGGAATGGAAATGATTGGTCTATTCGTGTGATAGATGATAAACACTGTTTTATTAATTTAGAATAAAAAAGAAAAGGATATTGACAATATAATAAAGTATTATGTTTTTTTTGTTTTCAATTAACAATGATAAACTTGATAATAGTTTTTCATGTCGATTTTTCTCTCGAGAAATCTATCATGGTGAGTATCAAATCGACGGCTATAGGGTAACATATGAGTAATGGAGGGGCAGAACGGTGGAATGAAACAGATAGAGAGCAACAGTTTGCTCACACTCTGAAGCACTATTTATTCGATGTGACAAATAATATGTTAAATTGTTGGATTCTCGATGAACTATTTTCACACTCTAAGCTTGTCGTCATCTTGACGACATGTAATGTTAGAAAATTTTTCTTTTTTTATTAGAGAATAAAACATGCTGATCGAAAGAGTGACCAATAAGAACAAAAAAACTCAATTTTTCTATTGATATTTTTAAGAGTACCCAGATTGATGATTACGACAACCGTACACGATAGTTAACGTTACCGTAAACGGTCGTGAATGCTTAATTACGACAGTAAACAGGTCGCATTTCATCTGTTTGGTAGCGACCGTATTACGGCCGTATACGCCGAAATCTATCCCGTATTACGACCGTCTTTAGCAGGATACGATAAGATACGGTGATATTTACCAGCGAATATCGCCATGAATCGTCGTAATTAGTGTCAGATAAAAAAGGTCCTATCCATGAATTTTGCGGGCTTGATTTGTTGCTCCGCTCCA